TTTTTTTTTTTAAGATTTTATTTATTTATTTGACAGAAAGCACACACAAGCAGGGGGAGCGGGAGCAGCAGAGGCAAAGGGAGAAGCAGACTCTCCACTGAGCACAGAGCCTGATGCGGGGCTTGATCCCAGGACTCCCGGATCATGACCCGAGCTGAAGGCAGATACTTAACTGACTGAGCCATCCAGATGCTGCCCCTTAGTCACTTTCAATGAGAAAACATATTAACACTTTTTTTTTTTTTAAAGCACATTGGCAGGGGTGTGGCAAAATTGGAACCCTTGTGTATTGTTGGTAGGAATATAAAATGGTACAGCTGCTGTGATAGGACAGCATGGCAGATTCTCAAAAAATTAAACATAGAAATTACCGTATGATCCAGCAATTCCACTTCTGAGCATGTACCCCTAAGAGTTTAAACGAGGGACGTGAACAGATATTTGGACACTCATGTTCACAGCAGCATTAATCACGATAGCCAAAAGTGGAAGCAATTCGAGTATCAACAGATAAATGGATAAACAACATGTGGCCCATATACAATGGAGTATTATTCAGCCTTAAAGAAAGAAGGAAATTTTGGCACATTCTGCAACATAGATGAACGTTAATGTCACTGTGCTGAATAAAAGAAGCCAGCCACAAAAGGACGAATACTGAACAATTGCACTCCTATGAGGTCCCTAAAGTAGTCTAATTCATAGAGACAGAAAGCAAAATGGTGGTTACCAAGGGCTGGGGTGGGGGGGAGGTTAATAGGGAGTTAGTATTTAACAGGTATGGATTGTAATTCAAGGAGATGAAAAAGTTTTGGAGATGGATTGTAATGGTTGTACAACATTATGGAAATACTTAATGCCACTGAACTGTGCACTTTAAAATGGTAAGTTTTTATGTATATGTTACCATGATTTTTTTTTTTTAAAGATTTTATTTATTTGACAGACACAGCAAGAGAGGGAACACAAGCAGGGGGAGCGAGAGAGGGAGAAGCAGGCCTCCCACCGAGCAGGGAGCCCTATATGGGGCTCGAATGCAGGACCCTGAGATCATGACCTGAGCCGAAGGCAGACGCCTAACAACTGAGCCACCCAGGCGCCCCATGTTACCATGATTTTTAAAAATTAAAAAGAAAAAGTGTTCTCTTGGAGCTTGAGATACTGTGCTTTAACTTTAAAAAACATTCATCCAGCCCTTGAAAATAATTTGGTTTTTCTATTCTGTAGATCCCTGATTGGGGCCCTTCTACAGTAAGTAAAGATCTGAAGATAGGATTATTAGAAAGAAGGAGTAAACCCAAAAGAAATACGATCCAAAGAAATAAGACATGATTCCCTGGAGCAGCTGCTTTGCCAGATGCTTGTCCTACCTCACTAAGATTTCAGTGTGTAGTACAAACCCTGAACATCTTGGTCCTTCATGAACCAGGGAAAAAGCTTCTTGAAAAGAGGTCAAACTGATGCTTCTGAAGCCTGCTTTTTCACTACAGTAATGAAAGCAGTGTTCTTCAGCCTTCTGATGCTGTATTGTAATATAACCAGATAAGAGTCTGGGGTCTCGTAAACATTCTGTTCTGTATTCACAGAGCTGATGTGAAGGCTGATGCCTCACTGTTGCATAGGCCCTGCCTAAGGATTTTAAAGATCTTCTCTTATTATTCAGGTCAATCTTGGAGAAGGAGGGACCAAAGTCACTTTTTAGAGGCTTGGGTCCAAATTTGGTTGGAGTTGCGCCATCAAGGTAAGCATTAAACGTCCAGCTGGCTCACTACATATAATACTCCTTTCTTACTGAAGTGCAGTCCTGCTAGATGGCCAGTTTCTTTTTCTGTATGGGATTTGCCTAGTTGCAGCTGACATACAGAGTAGTGACAACTGCTAGTGTATCTTGTGGTGTGTGTGTGTGTGTGTGTGTGAGAGAGAGAGAGAGAGACTCTAGTTATTTTATTCTTCAGTGAAAATCTTCTCATCACCTGGAATCTTCTAAACAAGTATCTGCTACTTCCTGTATGGTACGTGGCTAGCAATATTGGCATCACCTGGGGCTTGTTAGACCTGCACACTCTCAGGCCATACCCCAGACCTACACCGCCTTCTAGCAAGATCCCCAGGTGATTCATATGCACTTGGTAGCACTGATCTGAAGCAATTTTAAAGGCTTCTAGCCTTTACTTTATTTTAAACACCCTTATTTCGGTATCTCTTTAAAGCCTGTTTGAGAAAAGTGAACAGGTGAGTGTGTGTGTAGCATATCTCTGAAAAGTAGATAAGAAATTGCTTCTAGAAATTGCCTCCTGGGAGGGGCGCTGGGTGGCAGGGTAGAATACTTTTATATTACTTTATGTAATAACTCGGATAGACTTTAAAGATAATTAATCTTTATAACAAAAATGAAAACGTTTTCTATAAGGTAAAGACTAAAAGCTTCCTAGAATTCTTGCAGATTTGTGCTCTGAGGTGATTTATACACAAATCACCTGAGAATGTTGTAAAAATTCAGATTCTTAGTAAATCCTTTTGTTCCTTTAGAATTTTGTAGCATATGTGTATCATCTATTTAAAAATAAAAGCACTAGTCTGTGAGATTATATGGGGTATGCATTATAATAGATGGTAGACGTACTGCATATGTATAGTAAATAAAATTGAGTTGTATTTCCTCATGGACAGTGCTCATTTGGTAACAGGTGTTAATCTGATGTAGCTTCCTGGCTGCCACACCCATTTAGAACAGTTGGGACCTAGAAAAAAAACAGAATACTGTTACATAAACACAATAATGATAAGTAGTCCAGAGCCTAAGTTGAAAAATACATTCTATGATTGATGCATTGGCCAGCCAAAATAAAGAAGCATTTTCCCTGGCATTGCTGGTGAAGGAGCAGGGAAAATACCAACCAGCCCCTACTCCCCAGCCCCAGTAAGAAAGAAGTCAAAAGAGGGAAAGCAAAGACCAGACCAGAGCTGGGGATGGGGATGGGAGGGCGCCTAGCCTCCACCTACAGGAGCTGCAGGGTTGAGGGAGGCGGGGGCGTATTCAGTGGCGGAAGCTCTACACGAAAATATGCTCGTGATGATTGTTCCCTACGTGACCCTGAGTCATCAAAAAAAAAAAGTCAAATTATATTTGACATACTCATTGTGGTGTAAGGCAGGACAAGTGTGGTATATTTTAGAAGTATTACAAATTTTAGAAGTTTCAATATAGATTTTGGTGCTTAAAGAATTGACATCCAAAATGAAGAATATAAATAGATTTTATATAGTACCAAAATCTCCTCTTCCTCAATTATTTTGGACACTTCTACCATCACTGAATACTTTCTGGAGGGACAAGCAGGAGCTTTCTGCAGGGGCCTGCAGCAGCTTTTGGTTTTACAGATGAGGTCAAGCTTTTGGTTACATGTTAACCTTCTTTCTCATATTTTCCTAAATATTTCAGAGGTTGCGGAGGGACGTACATAGTGCCATGCGAATGTCTGTAGCATTCTCTCTTTCTTCAAACAGGGCTGTGTACTTTGCGTGTTACTCCAAAGCCAAAGAGCAGTTCAATGGCATTTTTGTGCCTAACAGTAATATTGTGCATATTTTCTCAGCTGGCTCTGCAGGTATGTTACCCTAGTGAGTGGAGATAAGTTTCCCACTTCCCTAAAGCATGTGTTGTGCCAAACAGCTTTTTCCAGGAATTAGAAATTAGCTCTCTGCTTCTTTTGCATCTAAAAACATTTTTCTAACGCTTTATGTTAGAACTAATAAAACAGGAATGTATGAGAATAGTTTGTAACCTGGTTCCATTTTCTTTGATAACTAAGACTTCTACTCTCCCTCAAAATTTACCTGTGCTCATGTATACTACTGGTGAGTGTTATGTCTCTTTTAAAGGAATATTAATGCATTTTCATGTCTTTCTGTTTCATTAAGTTTTTTTTTTTTTAAAGATTTTATTTATTTATTTGACAGAGACAGAGATAGCGAGAGCAGGAACACAAGCAGCGGGAGTGGGAGAGGGAGAAGCAGGCTTCCCCTCAAGGAGGGAGCCCGATGTGGGACTCGTTCCCAGGACCCTGGGATCATGACCTGAGCCGAAGGCAGACGCCTAACGACTGAGCCACCCAGGCACCCTCATTAAGTTATTTTTAAAGGTGGAGCTTTTTTGTGTGTGACTCCCCATGGTGTCCAGCGTACCCTGTGGATAGCTGGCATTTCTGCCCACAGCTGGGTTCTGTGATGAGGGCTTGGGGCTGTGGAGGAGATCTTTTAGGAGGGCTGGTACCAGATCAGGTAGTATGGGAGTCATTCCACTCACTATAGAAAATGCGTAACAGGATTTGTTCCTCAGGAAATACTTGGCAAAGAACCACGGACTTGTAGATTGCTGAGAGAAGGCTATGTCTTTTTAGGTATCATTTTATGTCTGGTGTAAATAGAAGAGTATTCCAGAGAACTTAAACAGGCATTCTGTGAAACGTTTCTGCCTCCTGCCAGCCTGTCAGGTTTTGTCTGCCTCTGTCATTCCAAATAAAAGTTCTAGTAACCTATCTGAGTAGTTATAAGTCATAATTACTAGACCCCAAGTAGAAGATAGCTGCTTCACACAAGAAAGGAGTTTCTGCCAAATACAGAGCTCCGAGGAGGAAATGCAGAGTGGCAGAATGAACGGGTCAACCCTCACTGATGAGGGTGGTAGTAAGTGAGCCATAAGCCCTAAGCTGTTGATCAGTTTTGTGACTTTTGCAAAATTAACTTAGAGGAAAGGTTGCCAAATAAAGGAGACCTGGAGGGAGTTCTCTAAACCACTCTCTGGGTCCTAATTAATCTGCTTAGGACTGTGGAGGGGACGAGGTGTTCAGAGCTCACCATGTGACAGGCTGATGCCACGGTACTGCTCTTTCTGGTTGGTCTGGAACAATGAGCAACATTAAGATGAGGAAGACTTGAAAAATGGTTCCTATAAGCAGATCGGTCTTTAAAACTTCCAATTTCCTGATATGATTAGTGAGATACTAAAATGTGTATGTTCAGATTCAGGTAAATGGAGATTTAGTGGCTTCTATTTTAAGTTTGATATAAGGTAACCTTTTGGATTAGATCACCAACTTTTTAAAACAAATTATTTCTGGACCTGAAGCTTATAAATTCAGTTTTAGAATAGTTTACATATTTATCATAGGAATTGCATTTACAGAAATATCAACAGCACCATCTACAGGTTGGAAAAACTAGACAGGGCTCTAGAAAATTGAGAGCTTTCTTTTAGGTACAAGATATCAATAGATGTTACATTTTAGGGGACTGTACCTTCCATCTGCAGTCTGGAAATATAACTGCTTCCTACTATCCATTTTTACTATTAAGCCATTTAAATCCTGATCTCAAAGTTTATCATATGAAATAGCTTTAATAAGCATGGACTGTGTTCAGTGATGATGTTTTCTGTTTCTTTTTTTTTCTTCCAGCTTTTGTCACAAATACCTTAATGAATCCTATATGGATGGTTAAAACCCGGATGCAGCTAGAACGGAAGTAAGTTATTAATTGTTCCTTCCTAAATATTCGTGGAGATTTTCTTTTTCCTCCCAACTCCAGTTGTGAAATGAGATGTACAGAGCCCTTAGGCATCCCCATCCTTGTTTTTTCCTGAATATAAGCTATATGTAGAAACTCCTTTTGTTTTGATATGTCTGCTGCCAGCCGTTGTGGGGATATGAGAGCCAACAGAAGTTACCACTCGGGGGAGGTTGGAAGCTTATGGCCCCTGATCTGCTCCTAACTTCTCTCAGATAGTTGGTGGGTCTCCGCTCTTGGCCGACCCCACCCTCAACTGGAGCGCTGTGGGCTCCTCCAGATGGCCTCTCTTTTAAGTGGGAAGAAGCCGGTAAGGGTAGAATGGCAAAGGGTCATTTTAATCTCCAAGGCCCTCAGATTTACTGGATTTCTGCCCTGAAACTCTGGCCCGTGGTTCTTTTTTTTTTTTTTAAGATTTTATTTATTTGACAGAGAACGCACAAGCTGGGGGATCAGCAGGCAGAGGGAGAAGCAGGCT